GTCGCTATGGCCGCTTCAAGATGTCACAGCATGAAAAGAAAGTCATGCCGAGTTTTGCTGTCAAATTCTGGTGAAAGTGCTGGCTTGAAACGCTGTGCTAGCTTTGTTTGGTGTTGATAGACCAATTAAAAACTGAGATGGGTTCGTTTAAATACATACATACATACATACATACATACATCATCTAAACCGCTTATCCTTCTGGGTCACGGTGGGGTGCTGGAGCCTATCCCAGCTGTCATGACAGCTGGGTTCATTTAAATTTGATACATATTTCCGTGTGTAAAAGTATGCAAAATGGGAAGCCATTGCCACAGTTACAGATGCCATACAAGGCTGCAGGAGCGGCAAACACTGCCACCAAGTGGACAAAAATGGAATCTCACACCATGGAAATGCAGTCCTGTAATGTAGCCCCTCTGAGTCACTGTGGACACAAACCTGAAGAGTTGAAAAAGCTACAATGGAAAAAAGCACCTTTGGCTGCACCTGCTTTTGTTGTAAATCAATGCATGTAAATTCATTTGATCTCAATTTTACCACGATATGTTTACATTTGTGGTTACACTTTCAGTCTTTAAATAAGCATGTTTATGTTTTTATAGTAAAAAATCAGATTTTATGTGTTTTTTGGGTCCAATATGTTGATACAGTTTGTCAGATTGAAAAGAAAACCGTCAGCTCATTCCGGTGAGGCTGTGCTGAACAGAGAGACATCAAACATTGGCGTGTAAACATTTTTAATGTGGTGCATTAAGGCAAAAAAGTATTCAAAAACAGCCTAAACTCCACTGCACAGTGTACACCCTGCTGTGTATGGGGCTGCGTATCTACAGACTGGTCAGAGCGCCCATGCAGACCCTTGTCCACCATCAAAAGTGGCTAACATGAGCACACGAGCATCAGAACTGGACCTCAGAGTGATGGAAAGAGAGCCTATGGTCTGATCAGTCCCGTTTTCTTTTACATCTCCTGGACGGCTGGGATCGTGTGCGGCGTTTATCTGGGGAAGTGATGCACTGTGGGAAGAAGACAAGCCGGAAGAGAGAGTGTGATGCTCTGGGTGATGTTCTGCAGGGAAACCCTGGGTCCAGCATTCCTGTGGACGTCAGTTTGACACATAACACCTACCTAAACCAGGTTTTAAATGAAGGTTTCTTTGGTAGTGTCTGTTTCGGTAGTGACTGTTTCAGTAGTATCTGTTTCGGTAGTGACTGTTTCAGTAGTATCTGTTTCAGTAGTGACTGTTTTAGTAGTGATTGTTTTGGTAGTGTCTGTTTCAGTAGTGACTGTTTCAGTAGTGACTGTTTCAGTAGTGATTGTTTCGGTAGTGACTTTCAGTCGCGATTGTTTCAGTGGTAACTGTTTCAGTAGTGATTGTTTTGGTAGTGTCTGTTTCAGTAGTGACTGTTTTAGTAGTGAATGTTTTGGTAGTGTCTGTTTCAGTAGTGACTGTTTTAGTAGTGAATGTTTTGGTAGTGTCTGTTTCAGTAGTTACTGTTTCAGTAGTTACTGTTTCAGTAGTGACTGTTTCAGTAGTGATTGTTTTGGTAGTGTCTGTTTCAGTAGTAACGGTTTCAGTAGTGACTGTTTTAGTAGTGATTGTTTTGGTAGTGTCTGTTTCGGTAGTGACTTTTTTAGTAGTGATTGTTTTGGTAGTGTCTGTTTCAGTAGTTACTGTTTCAGTAGTAACTGTTTCAGTAGTGACTTTCAGTAGTGACTGTTTCAGTAGTGACTGTTTCAGTAGTGATTGTTTTGGTAGTGTCTGTTTCAGTAGTAACGGTTTCAGTAGTGACTGTTTTAGTAGTGATTGTTTTGATAGTGTCTGTTTCGGTAGTGACTGTTTCAGTAGTGATTGTTTTGGTAGTGTCTGTTTCGATAATGACTGTTTTAGTAGTGATTGTTTTGGTAGTGTCTGTTTCGGTAGTAACTGTTTCAGTAGTGTCTGTTTTAGTAGTGATTGTTTTGGTGGTGTCTGTTTCGGTAGTGACTGTTTCAGTAGTAACTGTTTCGGTAGTGACTGTTTCAGTAGTGATTGTTTTGGTAGTGTCTGTTTCAGTAGTAACGGTTTCAGTAGTGACTGTTTTAGTAGTGATTGTTTTGGTGGTGTCTGTTTCGGTAGTGACTGTTTCAGTAGTAACTGTTTCAGTAGTGACTGTTTTAGTAGTGATTGTTTTGGTAGTGATTGTTTTAGTAGTGTCTGTTTCGGTAGTGACTGTTTCAGTAGTGACTGTTTTAGTAGTGATTGTTTTGGTAGTGTCTGTTTCGGTAGTGACTGTTTCAGTAGTGATTGTTTCGGTAGTGACATTCGGTAGCGATTGTTTCAGTAGTGACTGTTTCAGTAGTGATTGTTTCAGTAGTGACATTCGGTAGCGATTGTTTCAGTAGTAACTGTTTCAGTAGTAGTTGTTTCAGTATGTTTCTGGCTGACCTACACAACAGCAGCCTCAGTTTAACCGTTTGAGCTGCTGAGTCTCTCTGAGCTGGAGCTGGGAGTGTTTAGCTTGAAGCTCTGAGTTTAAACCAGGGCGATGGTTAGAGACAAGTAAAATCACGGTGTGTAGCGTTTGGGTTTTAAGCTTAGTTACATAAAAAAGTCCTGTTTTTGGTCTTTTTGTGCTCTCTGTGTGTCTGATGGCTTCCCCAAAACTTACACCTGCTGAGGGGTGTGAATACTTAGTAACTACTAAACTCAACGCTACAGCTAGTTTGTGTTGCAGCTCGTTCTCATTTAGTAATGATAAACCTGAACTTCTTAAACACTAACGTTACAACTGGCCTACGTTTGAACTTACGCACAACTGGTACAACTGGCCTGATTTGAGGAACATGATGAACAGTTCTAGATGTTGTCCTGGCCTCCAGATTCCCTGTTCTCAAACCGATAGAGCACGTTTGGGATGTGCTGGAACAGGTCCAATCTCGAGAGGTTCCACCTCAAAACTTACAGGACTTAAAAGATCTGCTGGTGCCAGATACCACAGAGCACCTTCAGAGGCCTTGTAGAGTTCATGCCACGGCGGGTCGGGGCTGTTTTGGCAGCACACAGAGGACCAGCAGCGTATTAGGCAGGTGGTTGTAATGTTCTGGCTCATCAGTGTATATGTTCTATGTGTGTATGATGTATATGTAATAATGTGCTGTATGTACTAATATATATATATATATATATATATATATATATATATATATATATATATATATATATATATATATATATATATATATGATAACTGTACAGGAGAAGGAAAAAAACTACTTTTAATGTCAATGGACACCAGACTTCTTTCCAAGTCATTTTGGGTTGTTTCTGTTGGTCGAATCATCATGGAATTTACACACAATATAAAGGGCAAAAGGCATTTTCAGATATGTCAAAAACTGAGAAATGACAAATATACAAGGTTTTCTTCCGACAAACAGCAATATATATATATATACATGTGTGTGTGTGTGTGTGAAATTCTCTTTCAGTTTTAAAAAATGAAAAAGAAATTTGTTGATTCTGTCGTCTAGTCCTGTTTTTCTCTGGTTTTACGACAACATCAGGATGATTTTTGTACTGAAAATGCACACAAACAAACACACACACATTTTTTTTTTTTCCAATCTTCTTTTCATTTGATCTGGATTGAAGTTTTTTTCCCAGTAACTAGACTGCTTGTTTGATTTTGAAGAAAAAGAAAGCAATTTCACGGTTATTTTTATTAATTCTCTCTCTCTCTCTCTCTCTCTCTCTCTGTCTCTCTCTCTCTCTCTCTCTCTCTCTCTCTCCTCTCTCTCTCTCTCTCTCTCTCTCTCTCTCTCTCTCTCCCTCCGCGTCTCCCTCCAGTCGTGTTTGTGTGATTAGAGGTCAGGCGTTGTCGTCTGATGGAACCCCTCTGGTTGGCGTTAACGTCACGTTTCAGCAGAATCCTGAATACGGATACACGCTCAGCCGGCAGGACGGCAGGTAAACAAAACACACAGCTTTCAGCAGCTCACATAAATCATTCAGCCCAGCTGGTTTAGCCTGAAATCCTTCTGATCTGAGTGACTCTGTAGCTCAATAATATTAAAACTCATGATTTAACATTTCAGATTGTCACGACCAAAAAACTCATAACACTAACCAAACCTTACCAAATGTTCCAGTAGTGACTGCTTCGGTAGTGGCTGTTTCAGTAGTGACTGTTTTGATAGTGGCTGTTTCAGTAGTGACTGCTTCGGTAGTGGCTGTTTCAGTAGTGGCTGCTTTGATAGTGGCTGTTTCAGTAGTGGCTGTTTCAGTAGTGACTGCTTCAGTAGTGTCTGTTTCAGTAGTGACTGCTTCAGTAGTGTCTGTTTCAGTAGTGACTGCTTCAGTAGTGGCTGTTTCAGTAGTGGCTGTTTCAGTAGTGACTGTTCCAGTAGTGACTGTTTTGATAGTGACTGTTTCAGTAGTGACTGTTCCAGTAGTGACTGTTTCAGTAGTGACTGCTTCAGTAGTGTCTGTTTCAGTAGTGACTGCTTCAGTAGTGGCTGTTTCAGTAGTGACTGCTTCAGTAGTGTCTGTTTCAGTAGTGACTGTTCCAGTAGTGACTGTTTCAGTAGTGACTGCTTCAGTAGTGGCTGTTTCAGTAGTGACTGCTTCAGTAGTGTCTGTTTCAGTAGTGACTGTTTCAGTAGTGACTGCTTCAGTAGTGGCTGTTTCAGTAGTGACTGCTTCAGTAGTTACTGTTTCAGTAGTGACTGCTTCAGTAGTGACTGTTTCAGTAGTGACTGTTTCAGTAGTGACTGCTTCAGTAGTGTCTGTTTCAGTAGTGACTGTTTCAGTAGTGTCTGCTTCAGTAGTGGCTGTTTCAGTAGTGTCTGTTTCAGTAGTGACTGCTTCAGTAGTGGCTGTTTCAGTAGTGACTGTTTCAGTAGTGACTGCTTCAGTAGTGGCTGTTTCAGTAGTGGCTGTTTCAGTAGTGACTGTTTCAGTAGTGACTGCTTCAGTAGTGGCTGTTTCAGTAGTGACTGTTTCAGTAGTGACTGCT